GCGAGCCGGAGGGGCCGGGAGCGGAGCGGAGCGGGGGGGGCAGCGCCGGGGCGGCGAGCGGCAGCGCGGCCATCGCGGCGAGTGGCGGCGGCCGCGGCGGCGGGAGCGCCTTTATGGCGGCCCGAGGTGCGAAGCGGCACCTCGGCTGCCCGCACATCAAAGGCCGGGGGGGCGCCGGCCTTTGAACCGCTGGTGGCGAATTTCACCCGAGCGCGGAGCCTGCCGCCCCGGCCCGGCTCCCAGGTTCCGACGGGGCCGGGAGCGGGGCTCGGGGGAGGAACCCCCCGCCGCCTCCGCTAATGGCGTTTCACACCTTCCCACTAATGAGCCCTGACGCCTGCGGGCCCCCGACGGCAGTGCCCGGGRACGGGCGCCCGGCAGCCCGAACCCCCTCCCAGCCCGCTCCCCCTCGCCGCCCCGGGCCGGGGTCGGCCCCTGCTCCCCGGCACAAGGCGGGCGGAGCGGCCCGCTCGGTGGAAGCGCCGGGCCGAGGTCGGGGCCGCGCGGGCTGGGAGGGGACCCCCCGCCGCGTTCCCAGGCCCCCGCAGGTGTCACCCGCGCTGGTGTAAAGGTTTCCAGGGAAACCCGGCTCTGCGGCGCAAGGAAAACAGGAGGGAGCGGGATGGGGAGGAGGGGGAGCTTCCCCGCACGGGCCAGGGGSAGCCACTTCCCTGCAGTGTGCGCAGCCCCCCACGTCACTCTGCGCAGCCCCCCACCACCTCTGTGCACAGCCCCAGGGATACAGCGCTGTGCACTGCTCCCCAAGTCACCGCTGTGTTCACCCCCACTCCGTGTCACTGCTGTGAGCAGCCCCAGGGACACAGTATGTGCCAGCCCGCCCTCGCAACTTCCCCTGAGCAGGTCCACATGGAAACACCCCGCCTGGCACCCAGAGGGGCAGCTCTGGGGCACCGAGCAGGGCAGGGAGTGGAGCTGGGCACAGGGAACCCAGCCAGGGCCACTGAGCTGGCCATGGGGCACAGAGGCAGCTCTGGGCATGCGGTGGCCGTGGGGTGCATGGGCTCAGCCAGCCCCTCCCGGGGACGTGGCAGAGGAGCTTCCTCCCAGGCCGGAGATCCCCCTGGATGAGCCAAGGCTTCGTCACCGTCACGCTCACACTTCCCAACAGTCACACGGAGATGTGAAGCTGCGGTGCATGAAGCGCTGGCACTGAGGCCATGCGATAGGGCTGGCACTGCTCCCCATCCGAGTGCGCCAGCAAGCCAAGCCTCRGGCTACCATGCACCTCGGCAGGAGCAACGTGGCTCTGTGCCCTGCCAGCTGCCTGCTGCGTGTGCCCACCAGCGCTGCCCTCTGTGCGCAGCCCCGGGCAGATCGCTGGTGTCCCCTGCTGCAAACCCAGCTGCTGCGCGACCTGGGCGCTGTGCATGGTGCCCTGCTGCAGGGCCAACCTGCTGCYGGCACCCACTGCAACACCCCCGACCTTGGCAACGGCCCGGCAGCCCCACGGGGGTTCCTGGGGACACTGGTGGCTCCGTTGCAGTTATCCTCTTACGAGCATTTCAGGTGCAGTGGATAAGATGTAAGCACAGAGGAGGTAACAGCACTGCCTGCGCTCTCCTGCGCCAGGGAGCACTGCGCCGCCTCTCCCATGCGAGTCCAGAGCACTCCAGYTGGGCTCCACCGCTGGCACCGCGAGGTGATCCCAAAGGCAGGCGGGCGCGTGGCCGTGGGCACAGCCCGTGTCTCCGGGTGCACGTGCGGCCCCTGCACTGCCCCAGCCCTTCCCAGGCCCCCTCCCGGGCTCATTAGCTGCCKCTGCCGGGTAATGAGTGGTGCGCCCCGCGGGGCGGCCGCTTCCCACCTCCCGCCGTGTTTAGACAAGTGCGGCAGGGCCGCGGCGACATTGGGCACCCACTTGGAGCCAGCACCCACCATGGGGAGAGGCCGGAGCCCCCCGCCCTGCGGGGACCCGGGTCCCTCCGGCCAGGTCACGGTGCTGAAAAGACACCCAAAAGCTGCAGCAGGAGGGGAGCCCCTGCGCCAGACCCGGGCCATCTGCAGCTCCGAGGTGCCGCAGGCTCCTGTGCCCAGTGCACCCCAAAGACCCAGAGCCTGGGGGCTTCCGCGGCCGGCAGGGCAGCAGGAGGGAGCGAAGCCCCCAGACCCGCACAGAGCCGTGCGTTGCATGGGCAATGGCAGGGCCCAGCCTGGGGTCGGGGTCTGCCCGGCAGCGCTGGCCGTGCCCAGAGCCCGCGGCTGGTCCCTGCAGGTGGCACCGGCTCCTCCTGGGGCTGCCCCTGGGCTGCCCACCCCACTGCACTGCCCRCCCCACAGCAGTGCCCTGGGCAAGCACCCCGAGCCCTGGGACGGGGTGGCAGCCCAGCGAGGCAGAGCGTCGCCTGCACCGGGCTAGCGGGACACACGGGTGCCAGCGTCTTGGGGTGCTCGCACCCCTGCACCCCGCACACCCAATGCAAGGTCAAGGCCCGGCGCAGTGCAGCCCGGGGGGCCGCGGCCGCTGGACACGTTAGCATCTCTCGCGAGCGTGTGAATTGGCCTCCACACACTTCCCAGCGCCGGGCAGCGCCAATTAAGGGTCCGAGGGGTCAGAACTGACACCTCCGCAAATGGGCCCCGCTTTCCCAGGCTCCCGGCGCGGCCCGGCCCCGCGGGCGCCGACACCTCCCGGCAGCCGCGGGGGCATCGCTCGCACCTGGGCCCTCGCTTAAAGCCTCAGGGCTGCGCGGGGGGCAGCCTGGGGCCTGGCTGCTGTCACTCTGGGTCTCAAAGCTGCACCCCCTCTGTGCCCCCCCCGGCATGAGACTGGCCCAGGCCTAGGGACAGCTCCACCTCCTGCATGGAGCCCCCCATAGCGCCTGGGGCRGCAGTGACACATGTGGGACCCTGCGGATCCCCTGCACCCCGCTCAGAGTGACCCCCAGCCCAGCCCTGCTCCCTGCCCGGAGACAGACAGGGGGTCACCCAGAGCTTGSGCGTGGGACGGGGGAGGCTCCCCAGGGGCAGCAGGGACCCGGAGCTTGGGCATGGGACGGGCAGCAGGGCTGGGCCAGGCCCGTGCGGGTGAAGCTGCTCTGCGGGGTCCATCCAGGCTGGCGGGGGGCAGTGCAAAGCCAGTTCTGTTCTGGATGTGGTGCACGGGACACGGGACACGGGGCCCGGTGCCCGGTCCTGCCCTGCGTCCCCGCCCCTGGGGCGCCTCCCTCATYGCCGCGGGCAGCCGCGGACCCTGGACCCGCAGCAGCCCCGGGCGGACGGCTGTGCCGGGACACTAGGGCCGGTGGAGCGGAGCGGGGAGGGCGCAGGGATCAGCGGAGCTGAGCGGGGTGCAGGGGACATGGAGCTGAGCTGGGCACAGGGACCCATGGAGCAGGGGGAGGCGCAGGGGGCTGTGGAGCAGGGCAGGGGCAGTGCAGGGGGCATGGAGCTGAGCCAGGTGCTGGGATCCATGGAGCTGAGCTGGGTGCAGAGGCCCATGTTGCTGGGGTGGGTGCAGGAGCCCATGGAGCTGAGCTGGGCACAGGGACCCATGGAGCTGAGCKGGTCTGAGCGCAGGGGCCAGCGCCTGGCAGGGCCCCGCGCAGGACGGTGCTGGCTAAAGGCGYCGGGCACCGCCACCCGCAGCACTTCCAGCTGCCCCTGCAGCTGGGGCGYCCGAGGGATCCCGGGCTTCTCCCTGCCACCGCCTCCCCTGGAGCCTCATGAGGGGGACCCAAGAAACATCTCTGCTCTGCTGGGCCCCATGGGCACCCTGGGGGGACACAGCCGTGGGCCGGTGTGCAGCACGGAGCCCTGCCCTGGCACGGCGGCCCRCACGCAGGGCGCCCGCGGGCCGGCCCAGCAGGAGAGCTCGCACGGAGCCGTCAGACGGGGCAGCCGCGGAACCCGGCGTCAGCCCAGCCCCCAGGGCCACTTAGCACCGGGTTCCTAATGGGCGGGGGGCTCGGCGCCCGCCGGCCCCAGCGCTCTGCCCGACACGGGCTCCTTCCTGCCTCACCGCCAGGCACTACACGGCCTCGTCTTGTCTCGTCTTATGCAGCCCTTTATTTACAGCATCCGCCCCACGGGCCTTCACGGAGCCGGCAGCGCCGCGGCCTCGGGCAGCCGTGGGCGGGGGGCCGGCAGTGCCGCTCCCCGCGGCGCGTTCCCGGCGGCGGCAGCCGGGGCACCGCGCGGGAGCGCCCGCACACGGGGCACACGGAGGCTGGAGTGCGGGACGGAGGCCAGTGGAGCACCGAGGGGCCGGGCCGGCTGCGGCGGCTGCGCAGAGCCGACCCGGTGCGGAGCAGGGAGCGCACGGGTCGGCGCCGCTAGCTGGAGCCGGTGGCGCCCTGGAACCAGGCCAGCACCGCCGCCTTGTTCTCCTTCACCCAGTTGATGTTGGCCCTCGTCCGCTCCAGCGCCTGCTCCAGCGCCCGCGTCCCCGAGCCGAAGCCGGTGTCCTGGTTGTCCGCCTTGAACTGCTCGAGCTGTGGGCACGGCGGAGAGGGGCTGGGCTGGGGGCCCACATGGACAGTCCCCACGGCACAGCGAGGTGCCCCACGCCGCGCTGGGCTGGCGGCAGCCCCGGCCGGGCCCCTGCTCACCTGCTGCAGCTCGAACTCGGTGGAGAAGCGCTGGGTCACGGAGGAGATGAGGCGGGAGAAGGAGAAGGAGCCTCCGCCGTACCTGGGCAGCGCGGGGTGAGCGGGGCGGGCAGCGCGCGCAGGGCGGCCCCGGCCCYGCGGCGCCCCGGCACTCACTCCCCAAACAGCATCTTCCAGTGGCTGCGGATGAAGTCCCAGGCCAGCGGCTGCCCCACCACGTTCCTGGCGATGCTGTTGATGGTGGAGGTGGCGTCCTGCTTGCGGATCTTGGTGGGGTCGATGGTGTACTCCAGGTACCTGCGGGGCGTGCGGCTCAGCGCCGGGGACACTGGGGACGCCGGGGACACCAGGCCCCGCGCCAGGTCCCGTCCCACCTGTTGAGGATCCAGGGCTCGGTGCTGCAGGCCAGGGCCGAGCGCAGCTTGTCGGCCTCAGACACCACGGTGGCCTCGCGGAACCGCTGCCACACAAAGTCCCACGTGGCCTCGTCACCCGTGGCCACCGCGCTGCAGTAGATGGCGGAGCGCAGGTTCGGGGGGATCCTGCCGGAGGGAGAGGCTGCGTCAGATGGGATGGGATGGGATGGATGGGATGGGATGGGATGGATGGGATGGGATGGGATGGATGGGATGGAATCGGATGGGCTGGGATAGGAACGGACGGGACAGGACAGGACAGGATGGGTTGCTGCTGACGTTGGGGACTCACGGGTTGCTGCTGACGTTGCTCTGCCAGGTGGCCAGGAGGCTGCTGGCCAGTTCCTGGCACTCGGAGATGCCGTAGGAGCAGGCGGTGCTGATGGCGTTGATCTCGTTGTACCTGGGGAGGGCGCGGAGCGGCGCTGAGGACGCGCACGGGGCGGGTGACACCCAGCAGCCTGCGCTGGAGGAYGGGGACGCGGGGCGGCGCGCGGCGCCCGCACTCACTGGTCCATGAGGCCGCTGGGGATGGTGGTCCAGTTGCTGGTGAGCTGCCGGTAGTGCTCGAACAGGGGCAGCACCTGCCTCTGGACGTATCTCTGGTGGCAGGAGCGGGGTCAGCGCCRCGCGGGCGGGCAGCCCCCGGCGCCCCCGGTGCTGCTCACCGTCATCACGCCGAACACCTCGCTGCGGTCCAGCATGAGCTCGAAGTAGGCCAGGTTGTTGAGGGCCGCCTGCCACGGCATGTACTCCGTCTCCTGGGCCAGGAACCGCGTGGTGTTCAGCGCCACCGTCACGTCCAGGTGCTTGGCCCTGCCGAGGGACGAGGGACGGCTCAGCCCCCGCGGGGTCCCCGCAGCCCCGCGCGGATGGCAGCGCTCACCTGGCCAGGTTGAAGGCGTCATCGATGATCTGGGCCCGGTTGATGACGGGGATGCGCTGGGAGGAGCGGAGCACGTGGGTCAGGCAGCCCGGCGCGGTGACCCCAGTGTCCCCAGTGCCCTGGTGTCCCTGGTGTCCCCAGTGTCCTGGTGTCCCCGGTGTCCCCAGTGCCCTGGTGTCCCCGGTGCCCCGTCCCCAGCCCGCGCACCTGGTGGTCCGTGGAGAGCTGGTTGAGGAGCTGGTCCCAGTTCTCCTGGTTGTAGTTGACGCGGAAGTAGCCGCTCACATTGAGGTTGAGCAGGAGCCAGTCGGSGCTGCTCACCTGGAACGCGGCGTGGGTGTCTGGGGGGACAAGAGGTGTCCGCAGGGGCCCCGCGTCCCACAGCACGAGCCCCGCGCGCCCCCAGCCCTACGCCCACCCACCTGAGACCTTCTCCAGCCAGTAGATGCTGTCGCTGGTGCCGCTGGACGTCTGCCAGGTGACGGGCACGATCCAGGTGTAGCTGCGGGGACAGAGCGGCGGCGCTGGCACCGCGCGGCCGCGCCGGGCGCCCGCAGCCACCCCCGCACGCACTTGAAGGGCGAGGGCCGCTGCACGGTGGAGCCGGGCTCCAGCAGGAARTGCCGCTGGCTCACGGAGCCGTCGCGCGTGTCCACCGTCACCACCGGGAAGCCCATCTGCAGCGTCCAGCGGTCCATGATGGTGCCGATGGAGGCGGGCAGCGGCAGCTGGTGCTTGTCGACCGCCTGCGGGAGCAGGGCCGGGGGGCTGAGCGGCGCGGGGGGCGCGCGGCCCCGCTGCGGCCCCGCTGCGGCCCCGCTCCTACCGCCTGCAGGTGGGTCCAGAGGTCGGTGTAGACGGTGTTGCCGTAGGCGAACGTGTGCAGGTAGGACTGGAAGAGTCGCAGGGCGCGCAGTGGGCGCGGGGCCGGCCGGCTGCACCGCGGGGGCACAGGGCCCCGCGCGGACCCCCGGCCTCACCTGCAGCCCCTCCTTGAACACGTCCTCGCTGAGGAAGTCGGAGAGCATGCGCAGCACCGAGGCGCCCTGTGGAGAGGGGTGAGGGCCGCGCGGGAGCCCGCGCCACCCGTGCCCCCCACGCCGCCCCGCCGCCTGCGCCACCCGTGCACCCTGTGCCACCCGTGCCGCACATGCACCCCCTGCACCCTGCACCTCCCGTGCCCCCCGCGCCGCCCGTGCCCCCCGCACCGCCCCGCCGCCTGCGCCACCCGTGCACCCTGTGACGCCCACACTGCCCATGCACCCCCTGCACCCTGCACCCCCTGTGCCGCCCGCGCCACCCTGCCGCCTGCACCCCCCGTGCACCCTGTGCCGCCCACGCTGCCCATGC